TCATGAAATGTGTAGCATGAAAATTACGTGAAGGTGATCTGTACACGTCTATTTTCAACTGGTCCAAACTTTAACTTATCGAGATCGATATAATATCCTTAATGTACAAAGTGTAATGAATGAACGAAAAAACCGCATATCTATAGATAACCAAATATGTCCAAAAAATCAATGTATACATATATGAAATTAAACATAGAACATAAAATATATGAAAGTGACTAACTCTCACTAAACCACAAATTCCTCAAACTGTAAAACACCCATGTGAGCAACATGCTCATGAAAAACCTTGGTCGGAAGTCCTTTAGTTAGAGGATATGCTATCATGGAGTTTGTCCTTAAGTGTTCTATGGAAATCGGTCTACTTTGTACTCTTTCCTTGACAATACAGCTGATTTATTGTCACAATATAACTTAAGTGGTCTTTCAATCCCTTTCACAATTTGCAGCCCTGTGACAAAATTTCTCAGCCATATTCCATGATTTGATGCCTCATAGCATGCTACAAATTATTGACATCCTGCAAAATCTGAGTCAGAAAATCCAGCGATCTCCAACTGGTCTGACCTCCTGTATGTGAGCATATAATCTTTTGTTCTCTTTAAATATCTTATGACCCTTTTTGCTGCTTTCCAATGGTTTATTCCTGAATTGCTTAAATATCTACCTAGAACTCCAACTATGTATGTTATGTCTGGATGCGTACATTTTTGGGAATACTTGAGGAATCTGTTGCATTTCCTCAATTTTCAAATTCTCCTTTGGGCATTAATTTAGACTAAACTTGTCTCCCTTAGTAACTGGAGTATCCCCGGCTCATGACGCACAAGTTCTTGAGGATCTTGAGTTTGGTCTTGATGAACAATCAAATCATCTTGAATATGGGGTTTATCATCAATGTCTTGTGGAGGTTCCGAACTTACTTTATCAAAAGTAACTGTTTGAATCGGTTCGAATTTATTGTCGATTCTTCCTCCAATACAAAATTCTTAATTTTATTCTTCCCCCCAAACTCAATATCCTCAAAGAACATAACAGTTCTCATCTCAAAAATTGTCTTTAATGTGGGATCATAAAATTTATATCCCCTGGCTCTTTCAGAATAACCAATGAAGTAACTACTTATGTTCGGGAGTTTAATTTTAGTTTAATACCACGAGATTCTGTATTAAGAGTTTCATTATAGGTGATCACAATATTAAGTAAATATAGATTATCATGAACTAAAAGTGAACAAATTCTAACAATATCTGAATTAAAAGACAAACTGAACTCATTGTTTCCAAATAAACACAAATAACCTAATTTGTCCAAATAAGAAACTGAAACCAAATTTCGTCTAAAAGACGGCACGACAAAAATATCTTTTAAATCTAAAATAAAAAATTAGTACACAATAATAATCTAAAATGTCCAATAGTCTCCATCTCCACCGATTTGTCTTTTTCAACGTATATCCATCTTTCAGAATCAGTTGGCTTCGGTAGTTTAGGCAACCCTTTCTTTTCACGCTAAACATGATATTTAGCACATTGCTTCTTTACGTGTCCAGTCTTATTGCAAAAGAGAACATTTGTTTTCTTGAGTTTGTTTCTTTTGTTCGGACCTTTAGCAGACTTCCTTCTTAGGATCCTCCAATCTCTTTCTTTTGCCTTTAGCCTTAGAGGTGCTTGCAAAATGAGCACTTTCTGTCTTGTCTTGTTTTAGCCTTTCTTCTTCTTGTACACAATGTGAAATGAGCTCATTAAGAGACCATTTATCCTTCTGACAGTTGTAAGATACCTTAAACTGATTAAACGTTGCGGGAAGAGAAATCAACACCAAATGAATGAGCAAGTCTTCTGAGAGTTCAAGCTTTAGTGCCTTGAGTTTAAAAATAATATTAGACATGCTCATAATGTACTCCTTGATATTTCCTTTGCCCTGATATTTCATGGAGATCAAGTTCTAAAGAAGAGTGCTTGCCTCCGCCTTATCACTTTTTGCAAAGCACTACTCAATTTCAGCAAGGAACTCTTTGGCACTTGTGATGTTTTCAGAAATAGTGCCCCTAAACACCTCCGGGATGTCGCGCTTAATGATCATTAGACTCATACGATTTGAGCGATCCCACTTCTCATAATCTTTTTTCTTTTCAGAGGTACTTGAATCCGTAGGAACAGGGGGTTGCTCAGTCCTTAACGCAAGATCCATATCCATGCAGCCAAGAATAATATCAATGTTCTCTTTCCAGTCCTTAAAATTTGTTCCATTGAGGACCGAGAAAAGAATTTAAATTGGCAGATACTGAAGCAATTATAACTGAATTAAGAACAAAAGAAATAAATTAATTATGCTCAATTATAAAATTAAATAATTATAAATAAAATATATATTCAAATTATGGTTTAACCCATCTCAAGACACCCAATGCACCATCAATATCAAGTCTTTGGACAATAATATTAACTGCTAGAGGTATCTTGTTGTAATAATCAAACATTGACAATAAAGCACGTCTAACAACAAACCAGTCTTTGGATTGATTTATCATCGACAAAACAAATCCTTATAATTATCACATGTTTATCATTACAAGTGTATATGCAATTCGGTCAAATATTAATCTTCCTTTAGGCCGACTAATACTCACATGAATATATACAAACACTAACATTTAATATTTTTCACGAACTACCCAATTCAAGAGATATTACTTTGGTAACTTCTTGACTCAATTTGCTCATAAAAATATTAAACTACCAAACAAATTGAATATATTAATAAGGGTAACCCTAAACCAAATTTATATAATTATTTATTTATTAAAAGAAAAAAAATATATATATATATATATAATGGCACGGAATCCACCACTGCCATTCATAAAACAAGTATTTTCCATTCCAGATTCTCCATGTAACATCTCAATTAATGTAAAAGATAAACGTTATCTTATCTTAAAAGATAAACATTATCAAAATCATAATTACTGCATTTATGATTACGTAATTAAATAAATAAAAAGAAAAAAAATTGCTATAAAAAGGTTAGGGGGGAAGGATCAAGAGGGAGAAAGAGAAAGGGGAGAGAGAAAGAAGGAGAGAGAGAAAGGAAGAGAGAGAAAGAAGAAAAGAGAGAAAGAAGAAGAGAGAGAGGAAGAGAGAGAGAAAGGAAGAGAGAAAAAGAAGAAAAGAGAGAAAGAAGAAGAGAGAGAGGAAGAGAGAGAAAAAAAGGAGAGAGAGAACGGAAGAGAGAGGGAAGAAGAGAAAGAAAAAAAAATTGTCTCTACAAAAATTTTGATACCTCATCCGCAGCTCTTAAGGTAGGGGAGGAGAATATTATCATTAAATTTATTTTATTTTGCTTATAGTTGTGGAGTGAGGTGTCCCTAACCTCATTCTATTTATTTAGTTATTTGTTTATTTATCTCTAACTACATATGACCCTACCTTATGTTTGTTTATTTTATCTCCAGTCCTGCACTAGTCCTATTTTAATTATCTCCAGTTATGTACTGTTCCTGTTTGTTCATTTTATTTTATCTCCAGTCTTGCACTGGTCCTATTTAATTATCTCCAGTTATGTACTGGTCCTGTTTGTTCATTTTATTTTATCTCCAGTCTTGCATTGGTCCTATTTTAATTATCTCCAGTTATGTACTGGTCCTGTTTGTTCATTTTATTTTATCTTCAGTCTTGCACTGATCCTATTTTAATTATCTCCAGTTATGTATTGGTCCTATTTGTTCATTTTATTTTATCTCCAGTCTTGCACTGGTCTTATTTTAATTATCTCCAGTTACGTACTGGTCTTATTTGTTTACTTTATTTTATCTCTAGTAATGCAACGATCTTATTTATTAATCTATAGTTATATTATTCAATTACAATAATATCTATTTGTGAAGATTTGATGATATTGTAGATGGAGGTTGGACCTTGGGGATTTAAATGAGTAAATATCATCTGTGAGAGTGATTAAAATTGAACTCATTTATCCCGACTAGTCACTACAAATTTAATTTAAATCTTCATAAAATAGAATGTGTTGAGGAAGTTGAAACATATATATCTATATATTATAAGATTGTATTATTGTAATTGATAAATGTTCTCACTCCCTATTGTGATCTTTTGTGCATGTTTTATTTAAAAATCAACTTAAGTAGATGGAGGCGCCAAATATTCCAAATCCCTTTTTCTGCAAGCATCACTGCCTTCTTTCCCGGAACTACTTGGAACACAAATGTTATAGACAATTCGGTTACTTTTAGAGGGATAGGATTTTCAATAATAACATTTGTATCTGATATGGGAAATCCCATTATGTTAGATGGGCCAGTAGTGGTTACCTTTTGTATGCCTCCTACCTTTTTCCAAAACCCCTTAATTAGTTTGTTTCCACGGGCAATGTAGATACTTGTAAAATCGTGGGCAATGTAGATACTTGTAAAATTGTAGAAAAAAATAGAAGGAATCAAAAATAAAATTCCTTTTTCTATTGTATATCTTTTACATATATGTAATATTTTTTTTGACATCCTACTCTTATATAAATAATAATGATAATAAAAATAAACGTCACACTCCACCTTCCCAAGTAGCCCCTTATTCAATCGATGCAGACCCTAAATCCTAAACGACAGACTGCTTACCGAAAAAGGATAACACAGGATTGGACTGTAAATGTTTTCTTTCCTTCTTTCTCCTTTTAACAAGCTTTGCATTGTTATCTAGTTGAATTTTATGACTATCCTAAGTTGCGGTTTTTATTGAAATACTAATGACTGAATCATTAAGTGCATAGTACAGAACAACTGATAATTTGTGCTTGGATATTCGGAAAAGGTAGTTATTATCGTGATAGGAACTATTATCCGTTGGGTGTTAGTCTAACTGAGACTCAGATAAGGGATATTATTGAGTGGTTAATGGCCTTCCATGGAGATTCGACTGGTTTGAGCACTGATAGTTTTGCCGATGCTGGTTATCTTGGAGCTGCCTCGCTCGGGGTGGTTACCCTTTGTAGTAAAGTGCAGCTCCATCACTCTTCACCAAGTCCATAATACTAGGACTCTGAGTAATAATGCCAGTAGGCAAGTCCCTAAGAAGCATATCACACAACAGAGTCTGCGTCCTCAAAACCCGTTTCTCCAATGCATGGGCAGCCAACTGAAGCTCCATGTTCAACTGCAGCCCAAAGGCCTGCATGAGAAACTCACAAGCATACCTCAAGGGAAATGGAATACACCTAGCAGAAGTGTGATGGCAAACAACAAGCCCCCACAGCCTCATGGAACTCCGTCCACCAACACCTTCCCCATCATTCCCATTAATAATAACATCCATGACCAAAGATGCAATCGACCCCATGTTAGCCATGTACTGAGCACGACAACCATGGGGGGCCCTGAGCGTTGACCCAACCAAACATAGAGGCTGCACAAGAGCCTCGTCCTGCACCACCCTCACAGCAGAAGCATGACAATCCACAATCATCCTTACCCTATTCTGCTTAAACAAAAAACCTAGAAGCATGAGGAATATCAGTGGCGGGATAATGCAAACCAATGTAAGGCTCTAAATCAGGCCGCTTGCTCTCATAAACAACCTCCCCATGCTCATCCGCGTGAAACTTATAAACCATAACCCTATCGTACCCTGTCAATTCCCTAACACTCTCAACAACAGTGTCACAGAGAAGCTTAACATCACCGCCAGGGAGAGACTGCAGCTGTGATGGACAGCGCGGGGGTCCTCTGTGCGCGCTGGCTGCAAATCGATGACAATTGTATATCCACCACCATGCCTGTCGACCACGCCGCTGCTACAACCACCACTGCATCGCGGCCCGTGTCACCGCTCCCTCAGCCACACCACCATTACCCTCCGCAGCAACAAACCCTTCCAATTCGAACTCCGGAAAACCCTCTCTTGGCCAAATCCTGAATTTGCCTAACCCCTCACTCAAATCTCCAAAAAACAAAATTGGTTACAATGCCAACAAACCCAATAACGTCACCAATATATATATATATATATATATATATATATATATATATATATATATATATATATATATATATATATATATATTTCATGTCATCTTTAGTGAAAGATTCGAGGTTTTATTGTTTGGTGGTTGTGAAGCGAAGAGACAACCAGGATATTTAACCCCAAATTTTAATTTAGGGTTTATGAAAATTTGAGATTAGGGTTCTTAATTCTTAAATTTAATTTACGAAATACAAACATGAATCATGTATGGGTGACTCTGATACCAATTGTTAGATAAATTGTAATTAATTATGATCTTCAATCTAATGATCAAATATAAAGTAATTTCATACTCATAAACATGTTGTAAACTAAATGCGAAAGCGTACCTGAATTAGCCATAATGATGATGTCTTTTTTAGAACACTATTGATCTTATGGTCTTCCACTGAAGAGTACCTGTATTTCTCTCTTGATTTTCTCTCCTGATGGGGATAGAAAGAAAAGAACGGGACTGTAACTGCGTTCTGTCTATGTACTCCCAGAAGGGGACCATGACCCTTTAAATAACCAGAATTAGGTTAATTACTTAAGTTTTAGTATTTTCAATTTGACCCCTCATCAAATTAGAAATTACTCTATGGTCTCTACACAATTTTATTTTCATGACATATGCCTTTAGCCAAAACTTTAATTTATTCAGATCACTTTATTATTTGGCTTAATAAATAATTACTCTAACACATTTAAATTATGTATCATATATATACATGAACCAAAATTTGCCAACATTGCCTAGATAATTTTCAATAGTTATTTTCTTGTTTTTGGAAGTGACTATCAATTCACGATTTGGAGATTCCTCATTGTGAAAAGTGGATTGATACTAAAGCGACTTACTTAGCTCAATGTAGATCCAACGACGTATTTCTGAAGAAACTGAGTTACAATCAATCGAAATCAAGGAAAATTATATACTTAAAAGACATAAAATATAAGATCTGATTATGCTTGATCATAAACTGAAGAATGTAAATAGATACCAAACTTTTTTAGGTACATAAACCTTGAGTCTCAAACAATATATCAAACAGCATGATAAGATTTCACAGGAGGTAAACCATAAATGAGCATGGTCATATTTTAAAAAGAGTTATGTATAAAAAACTAAAATTTGAATATTTAACATACATGCTAAAGAACTTGTTTCAATTGATGCAACTGAAGAACTCCAAAGATACGAGATCATCAGAATTCTGCAATGTAATGAATAATAATCCGCTACAGAAATGAAGAATTCATATAAGAGCTAAGATGGCTTAAGTAAAGACAGGAACATGAACATGAACACGATTGCGTGGACGCAACTCTTCATTGGATGTTGGCGTAACACCCACTTCCGCTAATTCGAAGTTGCACAAGACCTCTTCTCTCCCATGCAAACCGTGCCTATTTTAGTATTATTAATTTCGATTCTCTTGCTTCTTAATCTCTCGCTTCCCTCACCTTTAGATTGGATAATAACCAGATAAAGATACCAACTTTTTTTTTTCCAAAAATAAAATAATCCTTTACACCTTAAAATTTGCATGCCTAACTTGTCCAGGTTCACATTGAGTCAGCATCTCCACTCAGCCACCACGAACCAACCCCACAAGCGAACCCCTCTCCCTCTAGACTCTAATATAATTTTTCACATAATCACACGGCTCAGATTTGCACTCGACCTAGTCTTCACCCCTCATCCAAACACGTGGACACAACTCATCGTTGTTTTTCGATTTCAATTTATCGTGTCTCTCGCTACCCAAGTACTCATCCCGGCCAAAATCATACACATCCCATTACATTCACGCAAATATAAACCCACTTTCTCCCTATTCAAAATCTCACCGACGATATCGCGTTCAATTTTCGTGTTCTTTCTCGCAAAGGTTATCTCAATTAGTCATAATATAACATGGCTTATTACGCCAAAAATTAATATCGAGCGTCTCCGCTGTTACAGGGCACCTATAAATTAACTTCCCCACACCTCTTTCACTTCAACCATCAAAACGACACCATTATTCTTCTCTCTCTATTCAGCCATGACGTCTAAGAAAAACCTAGCCCAGCGCCTCCTCAACATCACCAAAATCGCCAACTATCGCATTTCCCCCTCCTTTCAGTCTCCCAATCCGGCAAAACCCAGCATTGCTCCGGATCCTGGAAACAGAAGAATCTTCCCCCGCTTCTTACACAGGAATTCCGGCCTCTCACTGGAGCTTCGGCCGCCGGCTGCCATCAGCATCCTCCAGCGGTTCCAGGAGATGGGCATTGCGTGGAACCGGATCCGGTTGGACGGTCTCAGTCCACCGGAGAAACAAGAAGCGGTAGCGGGAGACGTGAGGAAGGTGCTGAGAGCTGTGCAAATCGAAACGGTGAAATCAAAGCTACGGAAAATCCCGGAGAGTTGCATATCATATTCGGAGTTCATTCAAATGTGCGGCGACGACAATTGTTCCGACCAGGAGCAAGCGAAGAGCGTGGCGCAGATGCTGGACGATTCAGCGTCAGTTATTGTCTTAGGAGATGTCGTCTTCCTCAGACCTGAGCAGGTTAATTTCTTTCGTCTTTTTATATTCAGTTTTAATTTAATTTATTTTTTGTTTGTTTGTTTTTCTGTTTGGGTTGTGTTTTTGATGCGTGGGTTGATACAGAAAGGGTGATGGTGGAGATTAAGAAATTAAGATCCGAGATAGGTTTCTGGCTTTCTAGCTGTCGGCGTATAGTTTTTAATTTTAATATAATTTTAGGGAGCGTTTGTTTTGGAAATGGCCGAGAACTGATAAGGTTTTGTGGTGATTTGTGTTTTTCCACAGGAAATTGAAAGTTTGTTGTTTGGAAACGTGTAAAGGATTCTACTTTGAGATGGTAAATTTGGGGGCTTTTTAACGGATCCACCAAAAAGCCCTACTGCTTTCATACCCTTCTTCCTCGTTCTTTTGGGGAAATTTTTCAATTTTTTTTTTACTGATACAGAGGACAGGGCTTTTGGTTTTCTATTTGGAATTTCTAAATTATAATTTGGATACAAATTATTACAGATGATTTCTATCTAAACTATGATTTGAAGATTTTCAAATACATAACCAATCTAGCACCGTGACTGAAAGCGAGATTTGCCTAGTTTATCTATCGAGATCCAATTCCCTGGAAAAAAGATTTATTTTAGTAAAGTTTTTTTTTACTGAGAACTCATTGGGAAAACCATTTTTTATTTAAAAAATATATCTATTTATTACTGATATTATTATTATTTGAGTGAATAACAATATAAAACGTAGTGTTAATAATAATAATAATATTATTATTATTATATTATTATTATTATTATTATTCAAGTTAATAATATATTAGTTTGCCTTGAATATATTTTAAATAATCTTTGAAACCATTTTCTAGATGATTGGTATATCTAAATTTCAGCTTCTATTAAGAAAAAAATGTTTCCTGATTTTTATTTGTAATTTTTTGTTCAATAAAGTTCAATATCTTGGGAAAGTAGTGACACTGACAGACAGACAGGGTAATCTGTCAGTGCAATAATTTCATTATTTAAGTAATTAAAGATTTTGTTTATAGGAATTGTAGGAAATAAATATAATAATAATTATAATTGCAGGTAAACACAATTATAATAATTATTTGGTAGTAGGTTCTATAGTAATTTGTTATATGTTTCCTGAATAAAAATGATAATAATAAAATACAAATCATTTCAGTACCTCCTGACATGAAAAGGATGATTACAATTGTGATCTAGTTTGTTAAAGTTATTAACCTAGCCTTAGTTTTGAACTTCATTTTGAAAAAAAAATTGAAAATATTGTATAATTATTTTTGAAGTGTGGTTAAAAATTTGATTTAATTGTTAATTGTAATTATAAAATATTTTTGTAAATAAATTAATACATTTTGAGAGATGGTGAGTTTATGGAAATCAGCGCCTTATTCGCGGTGCAAGTGGGGCTAGATTTTCATAGCTTTGAGGAATTGATTGGGGTGTTTACTAAATTAATGTATGCTATCAATAAAATAGCATATAGCAATAGAAAAAAAAAAAACATAAAAATAATATGCATAATGCCATAAAGTATATGCTGTGTCTTAGCATAGTTCTTTGTCTTTGAAGTACATGATAAATGGACGGTGTATTCTGCAGGAGGTCGGGCTTATTTCCCGGGGCAAGTGGGTAGACAGCGTTTTATAGAAATCTGAAATGTTGACAACCAATGCAAATAAACATGTCATCAGTAAAATAACACTTTAAAGTAATAAATAATACTTTAAATGTTGTATTTAATATTGATGACAGGCTATTTACAACGACTAACTTTTCATGTGGACCCATTTTGTCCTCAGGTCCCAATTTTTCAAATTTGTATATGAAAAACGATTTAATTATATTAATTTATGTACCCTGCTGATTTGACAGACCCCCTTATTTTAGAAATACGAGTAATAGTTTGTAAAACTCAAATTTTAATTAATAACAACTCTAGGATAAATTTTGTTTCGGAAGATATCATTTAGCAATATGTAATTTTTCAATAATTACTTTTCCCACTACACATTTCTCAAAAAACACTATGTATTGAAGGTTTTTACTTTTATTAATTTATATCATAGGAATGCATGTTCAAAATCCTTTTTTCCTCTGTGAAATAGTCATTCTATATTAGAAATGATGTATAGGAAAACTTCAAACTATTAGCTAGTGCTTATCATATTTGGGGTGAAAAAGGAATATGCCATCTTAAGCTGCAGTTAACGTCTCTTTTGAAACACTACAATCGAATATTCGCATGTGTAATAATTCTGCTTTGGCTTACTTTGGACACATTTACCAGACCATCTTGGGTCAAAACCTATTTTCTCCACATGCATTTCTGCCGTGAAACTCATGTTTATAAGAGCAGGACTTGTTGATAGAGCGCTTTTCTTTTTCTTAATTATTTTTCATCCTAATCATGCATGTTTAAATTGTGATTTGTTCAAGTCAAATATTGATCTCATCCCATCCGAGCTGTGTAACATTAAAAAAGGTCAACATTTGAGCCAAGTTACCCAAACTGTACAATTTGTGACAGATAGCACAAATCATTCAGTCTATGCTCCCTCAACCAGGAGTGAAAGCGTCGGAGTCAGCAAGAAAAGAACTGGAAGAAATGGAAAAAGTGAAAGCAGGAATTGACCAGAGAGCGAGGACCTTGGTTCGACGTGAACTCTGGGCTGGGTTGGGTTTTCTAGTGGCGCAAACAGCTGGGTTCATGAGACTGACATTTTGGGAACTATCCTGGGATGTGATGGAACCAATATGTTTCTATGTTACTTCCATGTACTTCATGGCTGGCTACACCTTCTTCATCAGAACCTCCAAGGAGCCTTGCTTTGAAGGCTTCTATCAAAGCCGTTTCAGCAGCCAACAGAAGCGTCTGATGAAACGTCACAATTTTGACATTGCCAGGTATAATGAGCTCAAGGCTGCTGCCCCACCTGCACCCTCTTCAGAGATTCACACATCCTTTGTTCACCCCCCTGTTGAGCAATTTCACAAAAGTTTGTAGTGACTATAGAATATAATCGCTCAAATATCACCCCTCTCTCCATTGCCTACCAAATTATGCCAAACCATCCTTCACCCTTTTTTTCTCCTAGCATTCATTACTGGAAACAACATACAAACAACAACCAAAAATATAAAAGATAAAAAATACTTTATGATTAAAATGAGTTAGCATTAGGCGCGGCTTGATGTACAATATATGCAGAGTGGTTTTTTAATTTTTTCTTTTCCATTCTTTCCCCTTTTATTTAGTAGTACATCTTCTTTCCTCTTTTGTTTAATATTACATAAACCTTTCACGATAGTGTGTCTTACAAGAGAACAGGAAGCCGGTCAATGAGTGTTAAAGGCCAAACTACTAAACAGTGGGAGATAAATCTTAAGAAGTTAGATCTTAAGTTAGGTTAAGAAAATATTTCTATGGAGAAAATTAGAGCGAAGCTATTTTTGTTATTCAATGTAAGTCTCTCAGATTCTGACGTCACATGTCACCTGAAACAGTCTTTGTCACCATCTCTTCTTCCAAGCTTCTTTCTGCTTCTTCTCGGCATCTTGCCAGAGTAAAAAAAGGGACCGTCTTATACAAAAAAGTTGCACAGGGTAACTCTTTCAAAATATAACAAATCAAAATAGGTATAAAAAACAAACTTAGAAAATGTTTATAAAATAAATGAATAAAATTAAATAAAATATTATTATTAAATATAATAATTAAAAATGTCAATTAAATTAAATAAACTCACCCTTCAAATAAACAGTTACTTTCTTTGTAAGCATTTACCTTTTTCATTTCTATATTAATATATATCTTAATATATATATATATATATATATATATATATATATATATATATATATATAAAAGAAGAATGATTAATCTAGTCATTAAATTTAAAAAATGATATTTAAATAAAGTAAAAATCTTAAAAAAAAAAAACTAAAATCTAACAGCCATGAATATTCTGCCCAAATCATTAATATGCATTAAAAGGTTTGGTTCGCAACTTAAATTTTAACAAGAGCAATGATATCTTTACCCCCTTCAAAATTTTTAAATAATTAAGTAAACAATTCCTATTTCATAATATAATAATAAATATAAAAAATTAAAATTTTATCAATATAGAAATTTGTTGAATGTGTTTGTATAAATAGAAGAAATTGTCCAATAATCATTTTCAATTTAACAAATATACTTGAAATTGGTAATCATGTGATAAAAAAATTATAATTAACAGAGAAACGTATTTATTTTATTACAAGGGTATGTAATAGGATGTGTTTAGAAAGATAAATAATCAATGTGTAATTTTTATTAACTAGTCAAATAATGTTATTAAAATAGACTATAAACCACTGAGACACTATACATATACAAATGTTATAATTCTTTTCAACGACAATTTTTTAACTCACAAGCAATCTTTTTAACTTATTTAAATTATTGATATAAATATAAGAAGCAACAAATTAAATCAGAATTAGTGTTAACAAAAAAATTAAAATCAGAATTACATAAAATATTAGACTTAATGTAAAATGTGACCCTTTATCAGTAACATTATAAACCAGGTTATAAAACCTAATTTTACTTCTATTCTCAATTTGGATAAAACACTTTGTATGCTTTATGCATTTAATTTATAATTAGTAATAATAGTGGAGGTTGAAAGCATTAAAGTGCATGACCGAATCTTCGAGGTGATAGTCTATGTTTGAGTTTTTTCTACTTCTGATGGCACTGTATTCCTGAAACAATTTGTAGAATACCAACACAGAACCGCTAAAGGTGTGAAGTATGAGCCTATGCTATGCACATTCGATTTTTATACAAATTGCATAACCGGGGAAGGTTGTTTCTGGACAGGCCTGGTGATTGGCTTCTCGAACTTTCCCACTGCTCTCTTTATTGACAAAATTTGCGGTGCATAATACGGGCAAGTTCATGTTTCATCGGGACTTTGCATAATGACAACTTCTATAACTTTTTGCGGTCCCTTTCTATCCAAGTTATTATTATTTTTTCTTTCCTTTCCTTTCAATAATATATACATTTAAAATCAATTATTAATTAATATTTTTAATTAAATATATTCATTTATAATGGTAATAATGTGTAGTTTATTCCATTGGAATATCTTGAGATTGAGTTTGTTGATTAGTAATATGAGAGAAATATAATACACACTTACACCAAACTAAAAACAAGCTTAGGTCAATATCATTTTTCCTCCTAAATTAAATTCTAATCATACATTCAACTTATCACATTAACTTGTTATTAAATACATTATTTTGTATCAAAATAATACACCTTTATGATGTTATTTAGATTTATAAGCATTTTTTCTAAAAAAATTCAGTTCAAGATTTTTTCATTCATTCACACACCTCACAAAACTAAAAATAATAATTAGAATTAAAAACTATTTAATAAAATTAGTTTATAATTTTATCTAATACAATAAAAACATAAAATTGGATAAAGTGAACAAAATCGAACAAAATTAATAATATAATTCTAATAACAATATGTTTTTTTATATTGGTCTCAATTACGAGAGGAATCAACCTTAATATATCATTTACTATAAAGGAGAGAGTTCTTAGTAACAAATTAATTTACTCTCGGCTACTATAAGAAAGAACTTGAATATTAGGGTATAAATCATCATAGAAATATTTGATCCATTGTAATTTATAAACAAGTGAAGTTAAAACGCTATACTGGATCTCTATAAATTTTCTAGAGACTACAAATTATTTTTTGTGAAGAAAACATAGTTTCAATTTTTTTTTAACTTAATAGGTAACCCAATCTCAACATGAAAGAGTTTGAATTTTGTGAATATTATGTTTTTTTTTTTTAAAGAAAACATAGTTTCCAATTTTTTGTTAACTTCACGGGTAACCTAATCTCAATACGAAAGAGTTTGAATTTTGTGAATATTATTAATTGGATAAAATAATTTTATTCTTGAGCATTTTCAAATATCTTAGAATCCTGAATGATTCTTACATGTGAAGGATTATTCTGTTGCAAATAAATATGTTGAGGTTAAGATCCTGTGTTAATCAAATAAAAATATCTATCAATTAATCTTTTAAAACAACTAGATCAATTAAAGTTTTCTTTATTATATTCAACTATATAAAAGAATTAAAAGATAGTTGATTAATTTAAGATTAATTAATCATATTTATAAATAATTTTTAAATAAATACTTCATTTAAAAATTTAGACTAATTCTAAATTTGACAATTTTAAATTACCAAGTTCCTTCATATACAAGAAACATATCATGAAAATATTATTTAATATTATTAATTTCAGTATCTCAAATACCACATCATCATTATAAGCTAAAATAATTATTTGTTAACTTAAAAAATATATCGATATAATTACTTTAACTATATTAGGTCATTTTATTACTTTTTACATATAAGTTTATTAAATAAAACAAAAAATTTATGTAACAAATTAAAAATTGCTAGATAAAATACATACAGAAAATTTTAAGAGTTTCATAAAAGAAAAAAATTATCAATCAAACAAATGTGCATGAGAATATGAAAAATAAGGTGTAAGTTCTAAAAAAATTGAAGGCATACAATGAACAAAGGTGAGAGTTATCTACTGAAAATAAAAATAAAAAAATAAAAGTATAATACATCTGTAATATGAAAATTTATAAAGATTTCATAGAAAAATAACAAAGTTGAAAACATTTATAAAAAGTCAGATACCTCTTCAAAAATACATCTATTTTCAATCACAGGAAAGCATTGTATAGAAATAGGTGACTCTTCCTTGTAATCAAATTTTTAGAAAAATAATTGTAATAAAACAATATTCAAATACTCCTCAACAACTTTCTTTATTATTATTATCATATTTATTGCTTTCTTTTTAGCTATAATGCAATTTCAATTTATAGTTCATTTCTCTTTCAATTTACTTTTCAAAACATCAATTTACATAATGGTTGTTATTCAATTTTAACATTAAATTTTTTGAACCATAATCACTTGCTATGTTGATTTTTTTTTTTTCATTTTAGTCTTTATGAAAATTTATCAAAGTCTTTGATTTCAAGAATGTGTCAATAGTGAGTTTTCATTGGTAGTTGTGAAAAGTATTAAGATATTGTGTTTAAACTCATAATATTATATCTCTTTATTTTATAATTTGACTGTGTTCGATCTTATGTCATAAATTAAAAATAAAATAAAAATTATTAATTGCAAATTAAAGGAACTTTTTAATTGATTATTTAGTATTAAGTAAAAATGTTAACCAAAAGTATATGTTCAACTTTTTAATAAAAAAGTTGGTAAAATAATTTATTTCTTTAATTTATTATAATAATTTTTTTGTGAGAACAAAAAATCTTTCATAAAAGATTGGTGGTTACTTTTCTTATCATAAAAGCAATACAATAAATTGAATTAACTTACTTCTAAGAAATGTTATTATTTCTCATTAAAGATAAAGAAATGTATTGTAATTTCTTCCAATAAATTTTTTTATTATTGTTTATTATTTATTGTCAATTTTATTTTTATTTTTCCATCTTTTTCTTTAGTTCTTAGTTTTTATGAAGTTACTATAATTCTTAACAATAATATCAGAGTCACTTGGTTATTTTGTTGTATTATTATTTTGCTACTACAATTATTAAAATAGTATTTAAGGAAATTTTTAGTATATTTTGTGGTTATAGTTAATTTAATCTTCTACATCATAAAAGAAATATTCTTATGAATGTGGTAATATGACAAGTACATATCTAGAAAAAATTATGTTAAGGAAAGACTTGACATTGAAATGTGTGACTATTTGTGATTCACCTCTTTCTTGGGAGTTTACATAATATACTAGTTACAGTCTACGTCGTTGTTCAAGTAGATAATATTATTCATAATCAAAGGTGTATAAGCCGATTAAAATCGTAACAACAAACACTATAAGAAAATCTTATATTACCGACGGATATG